ATAAAATAATTTTATTTAAAATATTTCGATCTTTAAAGCTTTGATATTGTAACTTATAAAAGTTACTTTCCTCATTTTGACCAGTTCTTCCCCTCTAAGTCAATAGTTAGAAAGAGGAGCAATAACAGTGGTTGTAGATTTAGTTTATTATGAAAACAATTTACTTTACCGACGTTTCGTCCCTTGTGCGAGACTTTTTTAAGACTGCAAAAATTATTGAGTTAACTTAAAATTTGTTTTTCATTTTTATTTAAATATCTTAATATAGTTTTCTTAATTAGGTGAAAACATCCAATCGATGCGAATGAAACAGTGATATATCAAACAGCAATAAGCATAACACACCGCAAAAGTCCAAAGGACGATAAAAATACGACAATGAATGAAAATGAATAATTAAAATAATTAGGTCGAATAATTAAACTTAAAAGTCCCCGATTTTAGCCAGTTATTGTTTATCTCGTGATAAATAACTCAAAAATAAAAACAAGGATACGTAACTGATTGGTATTAAACAGTTCCGACCAGTGATTTCAATTTACCCGTTCATTTACTGTTTCTTTTTTTTTAATAATGAATAAAAAAGAATAATAAGTAATACAAATAGTTAAAAAACACCTGCCTATAAAATTAAACCACGTGGTGAAGACAATGAGACAATAGTACACATAGAACATATTTTGGGCTTAACACAGGAAAAAAACAATTGGCAAAACATTATCACATAAAAACTATTTGATACATATATAGTAAATCGAATCTATTATGGTCAGCTAATTTTCGTAAGGTTAAATTGAAATTTAAATTAAATATAACAACTTAAGTGGTAAGTTACTTTTAAATTTGTTGTAGGTATATATTAAGCCCCACACAAGGGTTTCGCCCCTCATCGGTAAATTGTTGTTCCTTTTTCTAACTAGTTACTTACATTATTTAGAGTTAAAGTTATTCTTTGTCTTGTACCAAATAACTCAAAAATAAAAACAAGGAACCGATACCTGATAGTATTAAACGGTTCCGATCAGTGATTAAAACATACCCATTCATTTACTATTACTTTTTTTTTTAGAAGGAACCAAAATATTCGTTCAAATATGGTGTTACCGACCTCTACACGGGAGATGTTAAATCTCAACACGAAAGCCGTGATGGAGGTATAGTGAGAGGACAGTATTCTTTAGTAGAACCTGATGGTTCCATAAGAACCGTGGATTATACAGCTGATCCGGTTCACGGATTCAATGCCGTCGTTTCTAAAACTGCACCGTCTATACACCCGGTGGCACCAGTGGTCAAACATTTGGATGTTGTACCTGCTGTGGTAAAGAAAATTGTACCTGCCGCACAACATTCTACAGTTTACATTCACAAGAACGATGTTGAAGCCGCGCCGGTGGCGGCTCCAGAGATTTACGTCGGAAAACACTCGTACCAACCGATTTACGCAGGATTAGGTAAGACTCTTAGTTACCTTTGACCCTTAAAAGCTTTCCAAACCGTCGATCCGTGAAGATAAGTTACAGTTGTACAAAATTAAAATTTTAAGATAACAAACCAAAATAAACGCAATAATTGAAATTATTTTGGGTTAAATTATGAATGAATGAATGGAGTCATTTATAAAATATAAAAATTGCCTTATAAATGAATTGCTTACACACTAGTTAACAACATGAAAAGTTGAAAAACGCAATCTTATTCTTCACAAGAAAATTAAAACAAAAATATTTTAAATTTTCTACGTTTTCTTTTAAAAGAAAGCTGTGATACAGGGATTGACGTTGAATGTTGACACAATTAATAACGTTTTTGTTTTACATCGCTTTCTTGCTGTGCAGAATCTTAAGAAACTGTCAATATTAATTGTTGTATCAATTGTTTTTTACCACTAAACAAATTAAATGTAATAGTAATCAAAATAGGGAATGGGTTAGTCGCTTAACGCACCGTTGATATCTCCCAAATGATTTTCGTTGTATTCACTTATTCGTCAATATATATTTATTAGGGTTGTTCATAAATTTAGTAACGCAAATTGGGGGCGTTTTGGCCTTGTTACGTGGGGCGAGACAGGGGGTTAAGATTTACGTTCCGTAATAACTGTTCAAAATAAGGAACGGGTTAACCGCTTAACGCATCGTTGATATCTCCCAAATAATTTTCGTTGTATTCGTTTATTTGTCAATATATATCTATTTAGAAGGGATTGTTCATAAATTTCGTGACGCTAATT